AAATTCGATTTTTGCTAACAAATAACCTCCAGGTAATGCTAAATTACTAAAGAAACAGGTATTTATCGGTTTGAAATGCTTTGGTGTTTTAAAATTTAAATTTAATTTGTAACTGATAAGAGTGGATACGGATGTCAATTTTCAAAAAAAAAAAAAAAAAAGCATTTAACTTATTTTGGTCAATAATTAATTACGAAGAAAATCAAAAATTTCAATATTTAATTTAGATATAAAGTTAAACCAACTTTTTTAAAAAAATTTGTTTGCTAATTTTTTAGCATATTGTATTCCTCATTCATTTTTAGAATTTTAAAAATTTTCAAAGGAGGTTTTGAGACAGAATTTCAAAAAATAAATAAATAAATAATAAAAAACAAATAAAAATAAAAAATATTCCATAAGATTATTAGCACTCAAAAACAACCCATCAAAATACAAATTACAAGAATTGTAGCTTAAAATTTATAGATTATGCAATAAGAAAACATTTTCTCCAATATAATGTTGATTAGGTATTATAAATTTTTTTATATCTAAGCAAACTAATTATACTGTATTGCGTCTTCTTAAGTGCATGCTACATAGACACATATTTAGTATAATTTAATTTAAATATAAATTTGAGAATTTACTAATATATTCTGAAAATTTATTCGTGTCATAAATCTTGCTTGTATATACGTCTTGTGCATGAATTTGATTTATCGGTTCTGGTTTAGCCTTATTAGCTTCCAAAATTTGTTTTTTGATTTCATTATCGTCATCCTGATCCATTTGAACTAACCATTGAGTGATTATTTCAATAATTTTTGTCGCAGTAGGTCGTTTATCAAGTTCTTTATCCAAACATTTCATAGATAACTCAACATAACAATCTGGTCCTATACATTAGGCCTTGATCCACTGATAATTCTTGATACCAGATCACCATTAAACGGAATTCCATCAAATGCTCTTTGTCCGATCGAAATTTCTGTCGCGATAACTCCAAGACTATAAATATCTGATGCCTAAGTATATGGTTGACCACTAAAACCTCAGGTGATATATACGGGAGAATTCCACAAACTTTTCCTTCCTTTACTTTTCCACAAAGTCCAAGATCAGCAATATATGCGCTATCCATTAAATCTTGCAAAATATTTCTGCTGTGTAAATCTCTGTGAACGAGTTCTTGTGAATGAATTGACTCAAGATCTGATGCTATACCGTGTAGGAGATTCAATTTATCTTTCCACTCCAATTGTGATACTTGTGCAAGATTTTGTCGTAACGAACCTTTTACTGCAATCTGCATAACTATAATATAATCACCGTGGCTATTTCTTGATGCTCCAACACAGTTTAAGAAAGAAGGATTCTTGTAACCAATTTCACAATAATTTTTCAATTCTTGGATAAATTCTTGCTCATTTTTGTTTGAATCACGAATCACTTTAAGCGCAACATCCCACAACGTACCGTTAATTTTATCGAACCAACATGCCCAATATACAGTTGCAAATCCTCCTTTTCCCCATTCAGTGATATCTCTGAACTCATCATAATCAATCCAAGTTAATTTAAATCTCTCATCGTCTAATATTCTCTTAAGTTCAGGACTGATATTATCTGGTGATTTATTAGTTTCCAAAAGGCTTCTATATTTTGTGAACCAATAATTTGCCTTCTGAATATTTCTCTTTGAACCCATACCGTTACGATAACATCGAGCAACGTTATTAATTGACACTTTAACACCCATATTAGCAGCTTTTTCATGGTATTCAAATGCTTTATTAAAATCTTGTTCAACCCCTATTCCGCTTTGATAATAATAACCAAGACTACCTATTCCGTCAGCATTATCCAAATCAGCAGATTTCTTACAATATTCAAGTGCTTTCTGGTAATTTCTTTCTACTCCAATTCCATACTCATAACATGAACTTACGGAATTCATCGCATCCGAATTTCCTAACTCAGCCGCCCTTATATAATATTCAAAAGCTTTCTTTTCATCTTTCTTAACACCATCACCATATTGATAATTTTGACCGAGTTTAAGAAGTTGTTTGGAATCCTTTTTTTTTTTTTTTTATGGAAGAAAAAAATCATGCACTAAATAAATACAACCTTTGTTCGGAGTACATTTTACATTTAGTTAAAATAATACAAAAGCTATAACAAAGAATTACTTTTTTGATTAATTCATTAATTGACTTATATTGTTGTATCAAAAAACATAATTTAATATTTAACCGCATGCATATTTGTACTTTAGTGTAATAGTAACAAAACCAAATCAGGTTACGAAGTCTTTTTCTAAAGTTTCACGAAGCCAAATATTAACAATCCTTTTTGCTGACAAGACATAATTTCGATATAATTATTATTTAATCGATAGCAAATTTTCCCGATAAGTAATTTTTAACTACTATTTCTCTGAATGTTAAAAATTATAAACAAATTTATATTTCTCGTCGAGGAAGCAGTTTTGTTGGGAATTTAGTTTGACCGTAAAAAAAGTATTCCGAGAAACTTCTATCAGCGTTATCAGTATTATAAGGTCGTAGAAATGATACTTAAGTAATTGGGCATCGAGATTGGGCAACAATGTATTTTCTATTGACCCAAGGATAGTTTCTCTATAATAAAACAAAATTTCAATTAATAACGAATTGTGATAAAAATCATATATTATATGATATCATGCATGACTATTTAGATATTTTTAAAATGGTTCGACCACAAATTCACGAAAACAGACGTAATACCGACAATATTAGTCGGCATTACAGTTGTTTTCATTTATTTTGAGACATCTGGTAAAAAAAAAAATTGACCGAATAATTATCAGGCTGTACGATACGCCTAGATTAATAGGTCGGAACTTGATTTTTGATTAGTGGAAAATAGTTTAACCGATCAAGTAAGTTCATAATCGCGATGAAAGTATTTCTTAAATTAATCGCAGTACTTGTGCACGATCTCGATCATTGGTCAATCACATAGAGATAACCCTCAATAAGTTTTGATTCGGCGATAGAGACAATGATATATATCTTTTCGACGTATTCTGAACGACACTACATCCAAAATTAAGTTTCGCTTGAATGTCAAAACAAATTTAATTGGATATTTGGACATAGCCTAAATTTTCAAATAAGTTTTTGACCATTGGACAATGTCCAAAAAAATTTTAAGATTAATTGACATATGTCCAATTGTTCAATAACTTTATTGGACAAATTTAGACGTTTTTTACTTAATTTACAATACTAATTTATTAATGAATTTCTATTTAAAAGTGTTGACCTTGGCTATTTGTGTGTTTTCTTTATAATATGTTTTTATCTTAAAAATTGAAAATAAAATCAATTTGTTGTTATTATTATTTTTGAAATACAATCATTTTACAGTTTTTAGCATTAAAATTTTCAATATATTTATTTTATTTAATTTATTAGGTAATAAATCAAACTTCATACAAATACTAAAATATTAAAAAGAATTGCCTTTGTTCATAAACAAAATTAGAATGAGTGTTGCCAAGTATGATATAAATCATTATAATTGATTTATTATTATATCAAATTTAACTATTATTATTGATTTTAACCTCAAACTTACAACCCTTATAAACCTTTATTCATTCAATTTCGATTACTTAATTTAATTCTATTCATTAATTTCCAATTCATTTATTTCTGATTTATTTATTTCAGTTCATATAGTTTAATATCTATGCATTGTAAAAATATAATAATGATATATTAATTTGAATAATAATAAAATTTATTAATAAATTTATATTTATCTTAATGACTATCATTACATAAAACAAATTTGCTTTTATACTTGTTTAATATATGTCTGAATACTTTTATTAGTAATGCTTTGTATTTGTTGTCAGTTATAGATAATTTCTTCAAAATATCCTCATTATTTTGCCATTCAACAAATATATCATGAATTTCTGCAGCTGATGCTGGTTCGGTTTTCTGGATCTTTATTCAAACATCTTTTCATAAGATCTATATAACTTGAAGCTGTACCTTCAAGAATTGGCGGTCGCATACCATCACATATAAGTACCATAACTTGTAGTCTTGATTGTAAATCAGAATTTTGTTCAAAGTGAACAGGCTTCCCATATAAAATTTCCCACATAATCATGGCAAATGAATAAATATCGGATGCTTTAGTATATGATATTCACATTAAAACTTCTAGATTAATATATGGCAAAATTTCATAAACTCCACTCGATTCAGTAATTAATGTAATATTTGTTGATATTGAAAGCCCTAAGTCTGAAATATAACCACATATAAGTCACTTTGTAGTATATTTCTGCTATGTAAATCTCAGTGAATAAGAATAATTCACTGTAAAAGGTTTGATTTATTTCTCCAGTTCATTTGTGCTATATTGTAAAGATTTTTACGTAAAGAACCCTTTTCAGGGTGTTCTCAAACCTCAACCCCAATGTGATTAGCAGGTGATAATAATGGTGCACAAATGTAATTATATTTATATAAAATTTTTATTTACAATTCAAATATGTAAGCTATAATGAATTGAGATTTTCTTAAGCATTGTCCTTGATGCAATTAGCTAGTGATCGTGATGATGCTCATTTATCATAATCAATAAAAATAAATATTGCAATTGATACTTGAGCGATTTATTATATTATTTTATTTACATATCAAATGTCATCAAAAATTAATAAACAAAAAAATAAAAAAATAAAAAATACTGTCAAACAAGAAGTAACAGATGCTAGCGAAGCAACAACTTTAGCTGTTCCTGTTGCACCATTTACTGACTTTACTAACCTTAATATATTATTTCAACCGCATTATCCTACCTCTCTATTTTTTATGAATCCATTGGTTTTAAATAAGGCAACTGCCAAACATCAGAGGTATTAATCATATATTTATAATTCATATAATTCATATATGTAATACTAATTTTTTTAAGGCATTACTTTCATCTATTAATTATGTTAATCAAAAAAAATTGGGTTCATCCAAGACCAAATTGGAAACTACTTCAGAATTAATATCCAATAATGTTTCAGCTTTGGATAAAAGTTCAACTTCTAAAGCATCCAATAACAAATCAAAGTCAAAGAGATGGTCTTCTTCTGACACTTGAATATTAATTGATGAAGTTGGAAAGCAATATAAATCATTACAATGAGCAAAAGATTCAAGAGAAAAGGGTTGTATTTGGAATAATATTATTTCAAGTATTCAAGCTTCTGCTTCAAACTCAACTTTAAAAGATCGATTTAAGATTTCAATTTAGCAAAAGTGGGATAATCAAAAGTATTAAAATATAAAGAATGTTATTAAAAATTCAGGTGAAGAAGCTATTCAAAATAAATGGGAATTTTTTAATGATGTAGATATTTACTTGAAATATGATCCAAGTATTACCACTTCTATTACTAGTAATTCAATTCATGGTATTAAGTGTTGTAAATATGATGAAGATTATATGAATGATAATTGTCACAGAGTTACCTAAACTACCGTGTATTTTTGGGTCTTTACTACCAAACTTCACTCGCTTGGCTTATTATGTGATGACTGAAGTATCATACCAGATACTACCACCACCAATACAATATCACTAAGATACAGTTTATTCACTAAGAACAGAGTTTATTATTTAGACATTTCTTTATTATTAAAGTCTCTTCTATTCATTTTTCTAATCTAAACTTAATTACAAAAGACCATTGTTCTATTTATATTACATGATGTTCAATCATGCAATGCATAAGTTACACGAACCTGATCCTGGTCCTGTACTACTAAACACATGTCAACCAAATCTACCACGTCATGAGCTAGACCCCAGAACTTCGTCCTGAAGTCTTACTCTTGTAAATCAACACAAAATACCTATACAAACATTAAATCTAACATTATCCCTATTTTATCATTAAATTAATATACAACACTAGAACTACCTATATATATAACCAACATGCATTTTTTCCACTAATCCCAACAAAACAGCATAGTATTTATAATTACACACCAGAGCTAGCAACAATAGTTTGTATTACATGATCCTTTTCTGTAAATCTTATGATTGTTCAACAACACTATATCCTTCAACATCCATATCAAAACCTTAGTTCCACGTTGATAATAACATCCTACATTACTCATTTTACCATCAGTAGCAGATCTTTAAGAATTAACGAATGCCTTATGTTCATTCTTTTTAACATCAATTCCATTTTCATAACAATGTCCAACATCGTGCGATTCTTTATCATAGTTCGATTCAGCAAGTTTTTGATAATTAACGAATGTCTTATGTTCATCCTTTTCATCACAAGTTCTCTTTTCAACATCAACTCTATTTTGATCAAGACTACACTTTCATCAACATGGCCCATTTCATAGCAACGTCCAACAATAAATGCTTTATCAATATTATGTGTTTCTTCTATACAATTCATCTCAGCTGATTTATAGTAACGATCGAATACCTTATTTTCATTGCTTTTACTTCTCATGATTTCAATTCCATTTTTGTAGCAAAATCCAAGATCATTTTGCCCATTTGAATTTTCACATTCTGCAGACTTCAAGCACCAATTTGATCCAGTTTCAAATGATTCATTTAAATCAACAATTAATCTTTCATTTATATGATCTACATCAACAGATTTTTGATAATACTTGGACACTTTATGTTCACCCTTATTAATACCAACACCATATTGATAACAATGTCTAATCATAGATGCTTCATCAGCATCATTCGTATTTGCAGATGTTTGATAATTAACAAATGTCTTATATTCATCATATTCATTTCTAATTTTATATTCGCCCTTTTCACCAACAAAACTTTTATCTTTATCAACTTCTGCTTTGTCACAACCATCTCTTGCATCAACAACATCTTCACCACCATTGCCATCTTTTATACCACATTTAAATATTACATGCTTGTCCATTTTGAATCTAATTCTATCATGATTACAACATCCAATATTGTCGATTTTGTTAAAAATTCTCATTTTATCAGATTTTGGTAATATATAAATGCTTTATGTTCATATTTTTCAAAATTGACACTAGCTTTGCAAGATTTCACCTCACCAGATTTGTCGATTTCAACATCAATTCCATTTCGATGACAATCATTAATTGTTTCATAACCATCATTATACCTTTCAATATAACTTTTTGTATTTGCCGGTTCTTGATAATGAGTGAATGCCTTTTTCTCATCTTTTCCAACACTAATATCGGGAATATCATTCTTCATCAATTCACATCTATACCTTCCAAGAACCACGTCAACAGGTAAATCTTTCATTACATAAAATTTTTGAACAGACTTCATATCATCAATGACAACTTCAACACCATAAACAAATCCAATACAACTATCATCTATACGAGTATTGTTTCTCTTATTCAAACATTTACAGGTAAATCCCACTCTTTTTGCATACTTCACGCTTATCTTATTCATATTCGAGCTATAAACTTTTTTTTATTTGAATTCTATGCATTATTAGAATTCAAATAAAAAAAGTTTATCGAGTTTGACTTGGTCACTATCGAGATATTGTCGCTCAAAGTTCAAAAAAAAACTTAAAAAAAAAAAAATACATTCAAAAAGAAAGTGGGTTAGAAAAATAAGAGAAAGAAAGATGAGTGTAAAAAAATTGGTTAAGGAAAAAAAAAATATAAAAGACTTAAAAAAAAAAAAAAAAAAAAAAAGACCTCTTTTCTATTTTTCCCGACGTCCCATTTTTTGACGTCTTATTTTTTTTTACATTTTATTTTTTCATTTTTCAAAATACACATTTTTCTATGTACTTAATCTTTATTAAATTAAAATAATAAACAAGATATTTATACATACTAGTCATTAAAAGTTTTTTTTTATTATATATGAAAAAAATTTCTACAAATCTTTGTTTAACAAAAAAAATTTGATTCAGATGTTATATATATAAATATATATTAATAATCTAATTCTCTCCACCATGACCTCAAGCACATTGCTGCACGTACAGTCTTTCCATTCAATCGATTTCTTTTCTCAGTTATCATATCACCACCTATGCTAAACATCTGTTCACTTGGAACACTTGTTGCGGAAATTGGAAGGCAATCTCTAGCATATTTTGCAAGATTCGGATAAGTAGATTCATTCACCCACCACCATTCTAAAATATCTGTATGCTGATTCACAAGTGGCATCATTAAATACATATCAAACTTGCTTTGCTATTCCGTACGTGTCCGTTTATAGACCTGTGATATTATACTTTTATGCGACTCTACAGTTGAGCTTGAGCTTGTCTCCTAGTTAGGAGGAGGTGCGTATTAATCTTTGTATTTATTTTTAACGCTGTTAAATTAACAATATAAATTAATATATTTAATTATAACACCAAAATTTCTATTTGTCTATCTTAAGTAGTCTGATTGGTTGAATATTATATTTCATATATGAAACCTAGTTTTATACAAACATTTCTAACTACCTATTCCTTGCAGTCATAATCCTCTACAAGCTTACTTTCTACTATTATCATTTTCATTAAAGTTTATAACTTTGCCATATATAATTATTTTATGATAAGGTTTCTATACAATAATATAAGAGCACTTTAAACCGCGAGTAATTTGTCATTCTTTCATTATCTAAAAATCTGAGATTTAGACATTTTAAGTGCAACTTCGATTTTTTTTAAAAATATATAGTAGCTTTATATTAAAAGTCTTTAATACAATTTTCGATATCATTATTTCTATTTGATCATAGCTATTTTTGGATCGCACATCTGCACCAGGTACAAAATCCTTGCCTTCTTAATGTCTATGTATAATTTTATTCAAGTGTGCAAATAATTCTTCATATTTATCTAATTAAATAATGTGTTACTCTACGATGTCTTAATATTTTTGCGTTATTTGGTTTAATTTTCAGTATTCTGTTTGCTGCTACAAAAGATATTTATGTGATTATATGAAAAAAAAAACTGCATGAAAAAAGTACGGCATGTATGAATTCGACCAATCAGAACACTAAAGAAGACAGATGAAAAATTGTAATACCTATTTTTCTATTTAAGTAATGCCAAGAGAAACCTATCGGGCTTTTAATTATAGTTAGACACAATATATTAATTATAGAAGTACTGTATATCCAGTACAATATAAAAGCCTGATAACAGGTTTCTCTTGACAGCTGATCACCCTTATCGCCACTTTACAGAAACTTAAATATCTTAATACGCAGTAACTGCGTAGTAACGACGTAGTAATTACATAATTACTATTAAATTTAATCATAACTACATAGTTACTATGCAGTTACTGCACATTAAAAGATTCAAAGTTTCTGTATAGCAATTATACATACTCATTTCTGATTTGAGTAATAAGTTGAGACAGCCATTTGTGTTCTTCAAAATAATTAATTTTAAGCTGTGGGTCTAGTACAACTGCCGAAAGATGTAAAATATTTGTCTTTTGACAATAATTTAAAAGCTTATTGATTGCAGCTTCGCATCCCTGTACAAGCCATTTTGGCATACTATCTTTTTTTTTGTTTGCTTTAAGTGTATCAAGTAACGTATAGTAGAGGGGATGACTATTGAAAGCATCGGGTATTCAGATAATAATATAAACACGGTTACTAAATTAAAAAACTAAATATTAATACTTATTTTATATATTTTTTAATTATATTTTAAACTTTATAATAACCATCCTCAAAAGGCTTTAAAACTTCAACAAGAGGTTCTATTTTTTCTCATTCATCTTCAGCAAAAACATATTGACGTAATTCCGCTTCTGCAAAAGTCATAGCATCTAATACTGTTCACAATTCTAAAGCACGTTTACACATATAAAAGGTGGAATTCCACCGTGTAGTTACATCTAGAATTGGCTTCAATTTACTAGATAGTTTTAATTTTTTGTGACGAATTTGTGATCCTCTTATACTTTTAATTAATTCGCGCAACTAACAAAAAAATTTTATTTATTTATTTATACATTTCTAGTTATACATATGGTATCTCTAAAGTACAAAAATACATTATTTGGACTATCTTAATTTATTAATATATTAATAACCACCTTTTCTAACTCATCTCCTATGACATTCAAAATACTTTGGACGGCAAGATTCAAAATGTGGCCAAAGTATCGCATTGATTGCTGTGTACTGTTAAAATAAAAACCGGCTAGTAACAAAGAATTAGAAAAAATACTCAAAAATTTTATATTAGAAGACACATTATTACAAGTTATTGCAATTAATTTTGAAATAATCTTATTTTTTTGAAGACAATCTTCCATAGCACTTGCAATTGCAGCACCCGTATGCAATTCTCTCATAAAAATAAAGTCAAGGAGAACATGCTTAATTTTCCACGATGTATCTAAGTAATGAATTGTGACGGCCATAAATTATTTTTTATTATTAGAGGTTGTCCATATATCCGTTGTAATTGCTATACACCCAGGAATTTTCTGCAATTTTTGTTGAAGCCGTTTACGTTTTTCTTCGAAATTATTTGTAATTTGTCTTTTAACAAGATCAGCAGAAGGTACTGTAAAAACTCATAAATATTATACTTTATTTATATTTTTATTATTAATTATTTTAGTTTATTATTAAAAACTATTTTTACCTACTATACGGGATTCTAAATAAGTAAATATTGATCTAAGTTTATCGTCTTCAATGATTTGAAATGATCGATTACGTTTTATAATCCAACTCTTAATAAGACTAGTAAATTTTTTTTGATTAAAGAATTCACATTGACGATTTTGATTTAACATATCTAGAATGGTGACACCCTCTTTTACTTTTGATTCATACAATTCAGGCACTTTGCTCTAATGCAGTTTGAGATATTTTTTAAGATTAGATGTTGTCCCCTGATTATAAGCATATAGCTTTTTACAAATATCACACTTCGCACTTTTACTATCTTCCTGCTTTTTAAAATACTTCCACACAATAGATCTATAAAATAAAATAAAAATTAATAAATAAGAAATACTTGAAATTAATATACTTCATTTTTTATATAATTACTTGGTATTTACAGGAGTTTCATCGCATTCTACAGGTTCTATTTGTGATAGTGACTCATCTGGGTATGATTTTCCTTGAGATGATTCGCCTTTGTCTAACTCTTCTTGGGATGATTTGCTTGGATATGATTCATCCTGATATAAATCATCTGGATATGATTCATCTTGATATGATTTATTTGGATATGATTCATATACATATAGTTTATCCGGGTCTGATTCATATGGGTATTGCCTGTCTCCATGTGTTTCTTAGTGTAAGGAAGGTAGTTCATATTCATCAAATTCATCACATTCTGCCATTGTAACGTGACAGTCATTCAAATAAAATAGCGTAAGATTAAAAAAAAGAGTTATTTTGCTAAAACTCTAATAAAATAGGGAAAAAAAGTCAAACTTATACATTTAAATAAACAAAAAAAAAGTACAAGGTTGAATATATGTTCTTTGAGAGATTATCTTGATAAAAAAAAAAGTAAAGCATTGCATGCATGTGAATATATAACATCAATTAATATATAAACTGGGACTAGTGTCATAATTCTCAACAATTGGAGCTATTATTAGTAATATCCAAATCAAGCAATTAATTATAAATTCTTAAAGAAATTATACCTATTTGCTTTTATATACTCTTCTTACGGCATGATTAATAGCCACATTTCTGAACCAGATTTTGAATTTTTTTGCTTAGCCATTTTTTCAATCTGTTATAGCTATTATCATAACGATAGCTTCTGAAACACCTGATAAAAAATTTGCCAGGTGATTTTTAAGCCGATCCGGTTAAGTTATTGATTCAGCATAGATCCATAAGCTATTTTTGTATCATATCCTGATCATTTTATGATTGTCATGACTTTTAAATTTTCGTTCAAATGCTTGTCCAAAAATGTTTAGTGTTTTAGTTTGTACAGAAATTCATAGAAAAAACTGTTCATGTCAATCAATAAATCTTAACAAGAAGGAATTGAATATAAATTAGACTTTTATAACAAATATATTACTCGAACAGGTGCCGCTATTAAAAAAGATAAATATAATTGACTAGTTTAAAAATGAATCTCAGATTAGGATTTCAAGCAACCAAGATATTATCAATATTTGTTGAAAATGCATGAAAAATTATGATAAACGAAATCAGGTAAAAAATTTTATATGTTTATATTGTTTATATATTTTTCGTCTTCAACAAGAAATTAAAAATATAATTAGAAATGAATAAAGGTTTCGTTTAAGCAAAAACCAAAAAATAAATCTTGTTGTGATAGATATTAGTCACCTTGAATCTTATTATTCCTGAAATATATAACTTGGTGTTTCAGAGGTTATGATAATAGCTGTAACTTGAAAAAAATTAGCAACCGTAATATTCTACTAGATTCAAATCGGGTATTATCTGGTTGAATCTATCTATGGATCCGGATTTGACAAATCCGGATCTTTGGATCTATTTTGCAGAACACTAGCCGTAACCATATTAATTTTTAAAATTAATTCTACCACCAACTATAGGTATAGTTATAATCAACTATTGTGGTTGTATAATAGAGACATGTTAGTTTTGTATAGCATTGTAAAGCATCTCTCTAAATGAAAAAAAATTAACAAAATATAAAGTTTGGCTTATATTTGAGTGACGAAAAAGGAAAACCTGTAAATTATTATAATAATAAGTAAAATGATTTACAGGTTTTTCCTTTTCGTCACTTATTTAGTAAATAATAAGAGTGTATCATCTAATTATGGAAGCATAGCTATTTTCAGAAATAATCTGAAATCTTTATTAATATATTTTTAGCATGTTTTCATAATTTCAAAATAAAGTTTACACAGTAAGGAGTAATGCACAAATCTAACTATGGAATTAAAAGTCAGTGAACTTAAAAATATTATAAATACAACCTAAATATGATAAAAAATTTTGTGGACTATATCTATATTTATATCGACATTGATATCAGATAGTTCAGAATATATCAGATAAATAATGATATCAATATCAATATCGATAAAATAATATAAAATTTCTTGACGACAATCCTTTCGGTTTAACCAAAAAGGGGGTCGTCTAAAGCCTGGCACCTTACGAAATTACCCACATCACAGGAAATCACAGAACGCACGTAGTTACGATTATTTCCAGAGAGTCAGCAATAAATTTTTTTTTTAACATTAATATTTTATACTACTGCTACCTGTAATATTACTGTATTATATACAGTATTATAGGGATAGTGTTCTTTTTTTTTTTTTTTAATTAATGTTTAATAAATATAGGTGGTTTTTTTTTATTTATAAAAAAACTTAAGCATATGCTCGCTAGGATCAGTTGTTAGAAGAATAGATCTAAGAATAAACAAGTATGCGTATGCATTTATAAAAGCTGTTATTTTATTTATTTAAAATATGCTCTAAAGAACTTTTTAAATTTTTAATAAATTCTGATTTTTCTTTCGGGCTTCCTTTATCCTCTACTCTCCAATATGCATTATGGGTTCTTTCCATTAGTTCATTTACAACCGAGTGTCGATTCTCCAAGGCCTTATTAGCTTCTGTTTTTTTAGGTATTTTAATTTCCACAACTTCACGACATTTATATATTTCAAAACCATTCTTCACAAACATTTGCTGAAATTGCACCCACACACTCGACATTAATAGTTCATCACCATACATATGTTTATGAAACATATGTCGGCAAGGAAGTAAGTACTAGCGAAAAAACAAGCAAAAACAATTAAGCGAAGCCAAGCCAGGTATTTCTTTACCCTTTTCAATTCTTTTTTCAACAGCGCAGACTTCAGTAACGATTAACTGCTGGATGGGATAGGGGAACTTGTAAATCTCACTAAGAATTTCATTATCAACTCCAACAACAGAAATCTGCTTAATTCGAAATTTGAAGACCGTATTTTCTGAGAATAAGTGTCGTTTGGCATCCAGGGCAATAATTTTATGACAAGTGCCTAATAAAAGTAAAATAATAAATTTTATTTTTGTAAATGGTGAAATTGATAATGTAATATTTTATAATGAAAATGTATTTTATTTAAAATATTTCTTATACAAAAAAAATTAATAAATAAATAAAATAAATATTTTATAAATAAAAAACTATTTTTTTATTAAAAAATAAAAATTTAAAGCCTGATTTTTGTATTATACCTATAATGCCATAATTAGATGATGTCATCCATTTTAGATCAAAATGATAGGACTTTAGAGGATTGGTTGAGGTTACTTGCAATAGAAGGGGTGAATGTTGCCATGCCCAGAGGGCCCATTGATTCGAATTCTTTATGTAATTTTGTGTAATGTAGTTTTTTATACCAGGAACTTGACACGCACAAATTGCTTGCTAAATAAGCTCCTCACAACCAATTTTTGTAGTTTTATGCATTGCCTGAATCATCAGGCTTCGAGCTTTGGTTTTGTATATTTTACTCATCCATACTCATATTACGTGAACCGTACAGAAAATTATGGCACACTCTTGCTCACCACCATGAAGACCAGGAAATGCTTTTCTAATGCTATTAGCCTCAACGTGGCTTTGGTCAGCAAGGATATATTGGGGATTCCAGTGACGTCCAAATCGTCTAATAATTTTCAAGGCATCTACGATTGTGTCGCTATCTTCTTTACTGACAAAAATGTGGGCACCAATGTCCCAGCACCCATATGTATCCCTTACATATAAAGTAAATAAATGACAGTCATATTTGTTCGTCTTGTGTGTTGAATCGATCAGGGTTAGCCAACCATTTCGTTTGAGCTTTACGAGTGGAGTGGGTGCACAAAAACTATACCATATGTAGATCGACTTACATTGTTATAATGTTCAACATTATATCCTTAAAAATAAAATAAGAAAATAAATAAATTAAGAAAATAAATAAAATGAGAAAATAAATAAATTAAAAAAATAAATAAATAAATAAAACATACTGGAAAAAGGGACGAAATTGACAAAAAAATTCTTTACAAAAAATTAATTTTCTTGCGAACTAGTTCGCAAGATAATTAATTTTTTGTGGAAGAATTTTTTTTGATCAATTTCGTCCCTTTTTCCAGTACCAAGCCTATGTATATAATAAAATAAAAGATCCCAACTTCCATTTTTTAAAAAATAAATACATTCTGCAATATCGGATTCTAAATTTATATTACCTCCAAAGTTTTCATTTTTTTGTGCTTCACATACTTTTTGATTAATGTTTGAAACCTTCTTTCGTTTTAACTCTTTAACACTCGCACCCAAATCCAGCTTCCTGGTTGCATAGTCCTTAATCATACTCACAATGGTGAGTGGCGGGTAATTCTTAACTGCTTTCTCTTCCACTAATTTTCGAACTGCATCCGAATGCTTTAACATTTCACTTTCTTCAAGTGTGTGTATATGGTCAAGGCTGTTATTATATCGTTCAATTTGCACTTTATGCACCCCAACAAAATGCAACACCCAAATTTTTGAGAGCACAGGTTGGGAGGATGGATTTTTGTCTTCTTACACTTTTCAAGAGGGATACCTTCTTTTCGCCCACTTGAATGATTATGTTTCATAAGCCGGCATGCAAAAACTTTCCATAAATTACCGTTAGCATGATTTTTATAGCTAAATCTGGACCAAATATTTGAAACAAGCGGCCACTATGCTTGATCAAAATCATGCATTGAAACTTCAAATGGTTCACCAACATTGAAGAGAAGTTCACATCTTTTATTAGTAGTTAAGGATTGAGACGTATAAAATTTAAGCGTGACCTCTCCGTTTTCCTCAAGTATAGTGTTTCCATTTTCTTCAAATGTGGCTTTGTTTTCCTCAAACCCTACACTTTTGTTTTCCTCAAACCCTACACTTTCATTTTCCTCAAACCCTACACTTTCGTTTTCCTCAAACCCTACACTTTTGTTTTCCTCAAACCCTACACTTTTGTTTTTCTCAAACTTTACACTTTCGTTTTCCTCTATACTTTTGCTTTCCTTATATACAACACCCTCCTTTTCAAGTACAGCCTCCTCCTCTTCTACAAATACACCTTCTTCATTTTCCACAAAAAAATTACTCATTAATAAAAATATATACCAGTATATAATATATATTGGCCTCTTTACTATAATTAAAAAAAAAATCGTATACTTTGTGATATTCGAAAGTAAGAAAAATTCAAAAGGAGGTAATAAAAAAAAGAACCTTTATATACAGTATATATATATATATATATATATATATATAAAGATCAGATCTTAAAAAAAAAAAAAAATTCTTAAGTTTTAGTATAAAATCTTAGAGAAAAATTCTTAAAAATCTTAGAGTGTATAGCGATAGGTTTAAATTTTTTATCCCCATTATATTCATAGAAAAAATCTTAGATATCATATGGCTCTAATAGCCAAATAGAATTTAAAATTTCAATCGATATGATTTTTTTAATTTAAATACTTTAAATACCCGAAAAAAATCGGGATTGATTATATTCCGTAATCTCCCGTGATTCAGGTAGTTTCGTGAGGTGCCAGGCTTTAGACGACCCCCTAAATTCGAAGCAGGGGGGACTTTTGTTTCTGATGATTTCCAGAATCAACATTACACAAGTATTTATATGTTGTAGTACTGTAAAACCAGAATTTTTCAGGTCTAAGCAAACTTAAAAAAAACATAACAATCGATACAACACTTTATTA